GTAGTAGTAGTAGTAGTAGTAGTAGTAGTAGTAGTAGTAGTAGCAGCAGCAGCAGCAGCAGTAGCAGCAGTAGGTGGTGGTGGGAGTAATGGTAGTAGCAGAAACATAGGAGCAGTAGTTCTTGTTGCAGTCGTTGTTGCAGCAGCAGCAGCATGGGGAGGACAAGCTCGTGGAAGGATGGAGACAATAAGGATTTTAAAGGATGCAGCCGATAGTTGGTAAGCAGCTTCGTTGAATGCAGCGCTGATGGAAGTGTAGGCTTCTGCATCTTCCTCAGAACTATACTGAGAATTTTTCTGATGCATTTCAACCTACTAAGCCCCTATTTTCTTCCTTGAGGACTTCGAGATGGTCTACAACTCACATCGGTATGCTGCTACAGTAAAGATGAATGGTCTAAAAATTTTGAGTTTTATTTACTTTATTAGCTATGGGCCAACAATTTCAATCTCTACTTGTTTCTATGAATGCCAATCAATAGATGTTTATATGTTTATCATACGAGTGCTCTTTTGTATTACTTACCTTACAATCTAATTTTTTTTAATCATTGGAAATCAGAATAAATGTTAAAAATCCAGATTTTTACAAAATCGTCAGTTTTTTTTCTTTTCTCTTTTTCACACGACCAGACAGTTGCCGTGTGCTGTGGTACAGTTCTATACCACTCCACAGCACTGCTTGTTGTTCATTGTTCATTTAAAGATAATCTTTATCGCACGTCGGACATGATCGTAACTGATACGATCTCCACCTGTGTAAATCTCTAAGTGTTTTTGGGCCCAAAACTCCCATTCTGTTCTGGCTGATGTAACGACCGGTGGCTGCCGTGTGGTTTTCCGTTCTTGCTGCTCCAGTTCGTACACTCTGGGTATGCAGTCTATTGAGGAAAAAATCATTTTTCTAGAAAGCTGAAAGCCTCACAGCGTTTAGGCTCTCGTATGGCATTGATGATGCCTATCCTGTCCGTAGATGGCCCATTCCTGATAGTTGCACTCTCAGTCAGGGCGTCTGCTCTTTCAGTGCCTTTCACACCAGCATCCCCTGTGACAAAAATTATGGTTTGCGAAGCGCTGCTGTATCAGATGGAGCCACTGTTTTCGCATATGCCTCGCCTTGATCTTCTGTAGCAAGCTCACCGAGTCACTGAGAAAGCATGCATTGATGAATTCCTGAGTTTGCAGCCATTCTAGCGCCTTTGTTACAGCCATGACCTCCATTGTCATGCTGCTGGCCGTAGAAGCAAAGGCTCCACTGTCTTCTTTGATGACTTTTCCTTTTGTTCTTGTCGTGAAAGCCCATGCACTTCACTTCTGTAGAATTACAGAACCATCTGAATATATAACAACATCTTCCGTTGGTGTGTGTTCCTTCCCCAACGCTTTCATTTCTGCATCAAATATCGATGGCGGCAAATCACGGCATTGTCTTGTCAGAGTGATAACTACCACAAAGTACTGTTTATTCTCGTTTAGTACAAAAATGTATTCCTCTCCACGGTTTTTGTCTTGAAAAGAAATCACCCGTTGAAGTATTGGTGTCGTTTAAGTTTGTTGCCTTTACGTGTATTCAATTCATCGTGCAGTGGATGTGTATAGACCTCAGTGATTTTGAGACAGGCACACGCTTGGGGCAGTTCAAGCCTTCTGTTTATATCTGAAAGCACTAGTACCAATCTCATTGCTCTACATGATTTGTCTTTGGTGCAGCCAACTATGGTGCACATTGCTTGAATTTGTACCTTTTACAGTCCGTTGATATGTGTCATGCTGAGTGTGAGGATTACCAGTGCATATTCGTTGACAGATAGAATCAAACCCTGATAGATGATGACTAACAGTCTTTGTTGACCACACATGGCAGCCATAACTCGCAAAGCAGCCAAACCCTTTCTGGCACACTCTTGGGGCAGTTCAAGCCTAATGTTGATATCTGTAAGATCTAGTATCCGTCTCATTGCTCTACATTATGTGTCTTTGGTACAGCCAAGCATTGCTTGAATTTGTACCTTTTCCAATCTGTTAAAATGTGTCATGCCGAGTGTGAGGATTGCCAATGCATATTCTATGTCAGAGAGAATCAAACCCTGGTTGAGGATGACTAAAAGCCCTTGTTGACAGCACATGACATCTATAATTCGCAATGCAGCCAAACCCTTTCTGGCCTGGCTGATCACAGTATCAACTTGGAATGTGCAGCTAAGGCTTTGATCAAAACTTACTCCCGGTATTTTAAAAGCAGTCCTTGCTGTCTTTTCACCATTCATATGCACAGAGGGTGTTATTGTGAGCACTATGTGGTTGTTCAGAGAAAACCAAGTTGCAGTTGCTTTTGCAAGGTTAATCTGTGCTTCGGAGCTTTGACACCAACCTGCTATGTGTCGCAGTTCATTTTTAAGTTCTTCTACGTTTCTGCCCATGTTCTTGCCTTGGCAGAACACTAGTATGTCGCCAGCATGTGAGAGTGTTCTTCCTTCACTTGTGATCTGATATTTTGTCACCTCAATAGTGACAAGGACTGGGGATAAAGGTGATCCTTTTATCCCTGGGTGTATGGTTTTCAACTCACAGATCCATCTTCCACATTTGAAAACGACCTGTCTCTTGAAGAGTGCTGCTGCTATCCAGTTATTGAGTGTTGCGGAAATGTTGATATTCAGGAGCTGGTGTATGAGTTTCTCAAAGGGAACATTGTTGTTTACATCTTCCAAATCTAGCATCACAGCACTCCTGCATGGAAACCTCCATAGACATCATAAACCAACAACATGAAAGATCTAACTCACAGAAGGATACCCCATAAAGAAAAGGCAGCAATACAAAACTAGAGAGGACAGGAGGTGGGATGTGGAAGTAACCAGCTGTAACTCTTCAAGTCCCATTTAATGTATAGTATGTGAGGGCACATCACACAGCAGTATGAATCCCAAAATAATGTCTTCTATTTAGTCTTTCTAAAAGTAATGGTCATATTATTTTTATAGTGGTCATTTCTCTCCTTTCTCGATCACCACCTGCTGCTAGACCTTCTGGTACTGAACGAGTCAACAGTGCAACGTGAGAACAAGTCTGTGAGTCTTGTATTCTTATTTCCCTGCATGAGACTTCCAAAGCCAGCAGATAAGGATGTTCATAGAAAAGTGCAATAAAAATGTAATTACAACTTTCAGGAAGCATCAACATGTGTTGCTGTTGTGTACCACAGAAAGGTTAATATCATTCTTGAATGTTCTTTAAAACCTTCATTAAAATACTTTGAAATGGTAGGATCAAATGGGCAACTATAAAAATAAAGAATAAAAGTATATCTCACATACAAATGAAAAAACCAGAGGTGACACTTCAGTGTTTTAAACACAGTTTTTTTTTCACAAAATGACTAAATGTAGGAATTTGGCATTTGAGGTTTCTGCATAAAATAACCATTTTATTATAACTAATCAATTTATCAACGTGTAATGTAAAGTATGATGAATATTAACTATTTTAGTTTGAGGCATTTTTACTTTAACTTGTCCTTTTCGAAAGAATTGTTGCTTTAAACAAAAATCAGGTTTTTAAACATTATTGGGGTGTGGTGATTTAATTCACAGGCATGAGGGAACATTACATTGTACAGTGCATAAGGAGATGCTCATCTTTACTGCCAGCATTCTCATTGATTGTTTTATGGACCCTCATGCAAGACTCTGCCACACATCCACAGGGCAGATAAACTCAACCATAAACAAACATAAATTCAGTATTATCCGATAATTGTGTATGTGTGTGGATGCACATGTGTACATGTTTGTGTGTGTGTATATGCAATAAAGTGAGTGAATTTATATGTAAAATGCCATGTGTTTTACAGTATTTCTGCTACATCATATCTAGGTAAAATACATGTAAATGGTAACGGTGAAGTGCCCGTGTGGGTCCCAGGGCCTCATTAGGGGGGAACAAAGAATAAATGCGCTGCCTCCCAAACAAGCATGTTGTAGGAGTCGACGAATTGAAGTTATCCTTCAGATTCAAAGTGCATCTGCCTGACAGGCCAGAAACCAAGAGTCTGCAAACAAATATGCCAGATCTGTAAAATGGAAGTGCACGCAAAACTCAGGTTCTGGAACAAGACTAAAATCTTGAGGTAGGTGAACACTCACAACTTTCTGCTAGAATTTACAACCGGTGAATGTGAAGAAGAAGAAGAAAACATGAAAGTGAAGAACTATTAAAAGTCTATTGGTGCCTTGGGCATTTGAAGACAGACCTATATTTTTGTAGACTAATTAACACTCAATATGTGATGCAGTCAACATCACTCCAGTCAACCATCTTTACTTCCAAAGATATTTCCTGCTACCTGTTTTAGGCTGGGTTGATCTTGAAGCCCAAGTAAATTTTTTAAATCTGTTGTAGGCATACTTCAAATAAATGGAGGAGTCACATTAGGTCTTCAAGTCCTAGAACATTTTGGCAGCAGATATGACCAAGGGGACATAATTTTTATGAATTATCAGAAGTGCAGCACTTTCAGTACTAACATTTTGTGTGTTTCAATAAACATTTTCACGTTATCTATTGGACGGCGTAGCCAGTTTCGCACCTACACTTCTTGGTCACCTCTTATAACAGACATAGTAGGCTCAATTGTTACTATCCTTTGCTTTCTTTACAAACCCTAGTAGCAATTGGTGAGAAACAGACTCATCATCATCATGTAGCAGGTCATTTGCAGAACGTCGCTCTCATCTCAGTCTGCCTCCCCAGCTTGAAAAACACACTAGTCACTGGATATGTTTTGGAGAAGAAAAAAAACATATAACCCTTCTAGCAGCATGTAACAAGGTAACTGTTATTCTTATAAACTACACATCTGGTAACACAAGACAGGTAAATAAACTTCCTTTAAAGTAACTGGAACAATACTAAATTAAAAATAACAAGTTTCTTGGGCGTCGACCATGTGGCATCTAGACTATGATGTGGCATCTAGACCATGATGTGGCATTACAAATATTAGTCATGTGGACAGGTCAAATCTGCCAGGCTATCCTGGTCTTGTAAGACCTCTGCCGAGTGTTCACGGCTCCACTGTGCCATTCTTCTTTCTCCAAGTTCAACATGCAAGTTTTCTGTTTTTTGTCTGGATCTTTCTGCTTCCATGCTCATCCTAGTTGGGAAAAAATAAATAAACAGGAAGTAAGTTAAAACTGATAAAGTGGGTTCTATCCCAATAATTCACCCCAAACACTGAAAATCCACAAATCACGGGACTCTAATATTTCAGGGGGTTGTAGATGAAGCATATAGTTAGAAATGTGGAATTTTTTTTGGCCGTGCAGTGTTCACTTTTGTATGCTTCTTGTGCTGTTTTTGTGTGTGCATTGTTCTGTGTGTTGGTGCAATTGGGAGGATGCAGTTTTTGTGGGTGTTTTCTTGTGGTTTTTTGGTGCTGGGAAGGAGGACCTAGGCTGCGTGCAGTCGTGGGATCTAGGCTGCACTCTCTTGTGGGATGTAGGTGGGTTGGGTTTAGAGCCACTTGTAGATGTTTTGAGGTCATTAAAAGTGCTCACATCATGGAATATAGATCACTCAATATTGCAGGCAGATGACAAGGTTTTTTTACAAACTATGTTCAATCCGTGAAAAACTGCCAACTGACATCTACAATTGGCCTTAGATCTGATGTATGAATTGATATATGAAAATTTAGATATTGTGAGGGCCCTTTGGGAATAGGTGACCAGTGCGGAGGCGAAGATAAATCATTAAGGAGATTGGCGCTGCAAGGAGTTACCAGGAGACCCACCTATGTCCCACTAGATGCACTCTTCCCCTGTCCTCCATTGTGCAGAAATGAGCAATTACCTATTTACGTCCTAATATACATATGTGCAGCCCTGGCACCAGTTTCAAATACTGTGCTGGTTGCTGAGTTTGGACAGAGATGGGGTAGCATTGCAACACTGTTCTTATAAATATGATACTTTGGTACGGGGGCAAGAGGCAAGCCTCCACATCAGTAGTTCTCAATCTTCCTAATGCTGCGTCCCTTTAATACAGTTCCTCATGTTGTAGCAACCACCAACCATAAAATTATTTTTGTTGCTACTTCATAACATCAGTGAATATGTGTTTTCCTATGGTCTTTGACGACCCCTGTGAAAGGGGTCGTCGACTCACAAAAGGGACACGACCCATAGGTTGAGAACCATTGCTCTACATCTATCTAATTCTGATAGATGCAAGTCTTTTTCAGGGCTCAAATTATCAATGTACTGAACTTGAGAAACCAGAGAGTTCACAATCTTCCAGAGAATCCCTCTAAAAGCCAAGCGTGTCCATAACATAAATTTAAACAAAAACCTATTTGGTAGATCTACTGCTGAATGTTGAATTAAGAATCGACATCACAGCTCTCAGGACACTCCCATATGTGCTCAGTCCCCATCTTCAGCAGCAAGTGAAGAATTCTAATTCTGATGGTACAAGTACGGCTAATTGTATATCCGTCTCATTGTTGAGCGTCAGCCAGATCCCCTGGTAACTCCTTGCAGCGCCATTCTCCTCAGACCATAATGGTTTATCTTCGCCTCCGCACTGATCACCCATTCCCAAACGGCCCTCACATTATCTAACTTGTCATACATTAATTCATACATCAGATCTACTGCTCAAGTCATTCAGGGGTTAGAGGCAATGGCTGAGCTAATATACTGGCCTAAACAGGTCTAAACTGTGAGGCCATTGGCAATGTGTACAAGAAAAATAATGTTTCCTATATGGCAGGGCGGTGTGGCCACCGACATAGACACTCAGTCATTTATCAGACTCAGACAATTGCAATTGGTGTCACTTGTAACAGTCGTAGCAACTATGTGTAACTGTAGTAGCAGTTGGCAACACTTGTAACAGTAACTGGCAATGTAACAGTAGTTGGCAACACTTGTAACAGTAATGGCAGTAGTTGGCAACACCTGTCACTGTAGATGACAATCTAACAGTAGTTGGCGATGCTTGTAACAAAGCTGGCAATGTAACAATAGTTGGCAACACTTGTAACTAGCTGGTAATGTAGCAGTAGTTGGCAACACTTGTAACTAGACTGCAATGGAGCAATAGTTGGCCACACTTGTAACTATAGCTGGCAATGTAACAGTTGGCAACACTTGTAACAGTATTGGCAGTAGTTGGCAACACTTATAACTGTAGCTGACAATGTATCAGTAGTTGGCAACATCAGTAACAGAGGTGACAATTTAACAGTAATTGGCAACAAATGTCACATATCTGGCAATGTAACAATAGTTGGCAACACTTGTAACTGGAGCTTGCAATGCAACAATAGTTGGCAACACCTGTAACTGTAGCTGGCAATGTAACAGTAGATGGCTTCACCCGTAATTCTGGCTAGCATAACCAACTTGATAACAGCATGACTGTTTCTTTCATAACCCTGTGTGGGTACAAAGTCAGTTTTCTTTGGGAAAGGGGGAGGGGGGAAGAATAGACTTACTGCCCCCACCCCCTCCAACAAGCATGTTGTAAAAGGCGACTAATGAGGGATGTTTCCTTTCAAGTCGGAATGCATCTACCTGAAAGATAAGGAGCCAACAACCTGCAAACAAATAAACCAGATCTGTAAAATGGAACTGCACATAAACCTCAAGTTATGGGGCAAGACCAAAGTCAAGAAGTGGACGAACAACCAGAACTTCCTGCCAGAGTTCACAGCCAGTGAAAAAGAAGAAAAACAAGAAGAATCTATCAATGTATCAATCAATCAATAAAAGCCCTAAAGCTGTATAGCAATCATTACAAGGCACCGTTAAGTTAAGCATTACAGAATTTACCTGTGACTCTCAGATAAGGCTCTAGCAATGAAGTTCTCTCTTTTTCTTGTGTCTAGGTTGTCAGTCTCCCTGGACACTTTCTATGAATGAAGACATAAAACATATCATAGCTTCGTCCATGTTAGTGAATAAACTGGTGATTTGATAGTTTGTACAAAGTACTCTACTTTTCCATGTATAAGTCAAATTGTTTTCTCACATTTTTATTTCAGTTTAATTGGGAAGGGGGGGGTGTCATCTTACATATTTATTTTAAATATTTATTTACTAATTCTTGGTTCCCACCCCTCCCCCCCCCCCCCCCAAAAAAAAGGGTCATCTTATACATGAGAGTATTTTATACATGGAATAATAAGGCAGGCATATATATTTTTAACTTCAAATTTTGCCCAGGCAGCATCGTTAGGCTACTCTTTTTGAATTCCAACTGCCGAGGGATTTTGTTACGTGCGCTCCAATGCACACTGGCATCCAATCTCATTACCCAGAGACCAGGGGTAGTTACTAGAAGTCCAAGTCCAAAAAAATCTTTGCCCTTACCGAGGATTGAACCTGGAACCTATATCACTCGAGGCAGACACCATGCCTCAAGACCACACAGCCCCCCCCCCCTATCATAAGGAGTAAGCAGAGTAAAGAACCCATTCCAGGCCACTGGTGCATCAAGCATATGGTGCTATATCCATATTTTGATTTTTAAAAAGCAGCACTCAGTGTGATTACCATTCGGTCGATAAAATATAGGTCTAGCCCTATATGCCCAAATTACCAGAAAAGCGTGGAAAGGGATCCTTTACTTTAAATGGCGCTCAGTGTAACATATGGTCAACATCTGCCTGCCCATCTTTATTCCCTAGGATATTTCCTAGTACTCATTTCAGGCCAGCTTGATTAGGAAGGAGGGCGGCTGTGGTGTAATGTTAGAAGGAGGGTGGCTGTGGTGTAATGTTAGAAGGAGGGCGGCTGTGGTGTAATGTTAGAAGGAGGGCGGCTGTGGTGTAATGTTAGAAGGAGGGCTGCTGTGGTGTAATGTTAGAAGGAGGGCGGCTGTGGTGTAATGTTAGAAGGAGGGCGGCTGTGGTGTAATGTTAGAAGGAGGGCGGCTGTGGTGTAATGTTAGAAGGAGAGCGGCTGTGGTGTAATGTTAGAAGGAGGGCGGCTGTGGTGTAATGTTAGAAGGAGGGCGGCTGTGGTGTAATGTTAGAAGGAGGGCGGCTGTGGTGTAATGTTAGAAGGAGGGCGGCTGTGGTGTAATGGTTAGATGCTTGCCTGCGGATCGGAAGGTCAGGGGTTCAGGTCTGCACTATTTTTTATGACACAATGTTAGTAAGAATGTCTAAATACTTCTATCTTCATCACCTCCCAATTCAAAATTTGAAACAAAAATTCAAATCACATAATAATTGTCCTAAATAAATAATTACACAATAGATAAAATAAATAACAATATACTCTTGGTGAATTCCTTCTACAGTCAAGTGGAAGAGATCCAGTCTCACGCCAACCATACTTTTTTTTCCAACTAATGAACTAGTCACCACTGAATGGTGTTGAATTAAGAATCGCCATCACAGCGCTCATGACACTTCCATCTCGCGTCGTCCCCCATCTTCAGCAGAAGCGAAGAGTTCCAATTCAGCAATTCCGATGGCAATAATTGCACAGTCACAATTTACAAAATCTAAAAAGTTTTAAAATAAAGGAGAACCGCAACGAGTATATGCAACCTCTTGCTGTTGTATCTGAGTTGCAATAAAACTTTGCAGATTTGTAGACCCCTCTGACTGATTCATGCTGCCCTGTTCGTTATTCTCGCCGTTAAGCTTCTCCGCCATTATTCAACACAGCTGTTGCTATGAACGTTAAAAAGTAATCCGGCAAAACATGTAAATAATTACACAGAATGGGCCATAAAGACAATCCAGCAGCAACTACAATATAAGCTGTTGAGCTGAAATGCTCCCCGTGCGGGTTCTGTGTCCCGATTGTCGGGGAAAACAAAAACAAACCACTGCCTCCACAACAAGCATGTCGTAGGAGTCGACTAATTGGGAGCTTCCTTTGAAGTCGGAGGGTATCTGCCCGAGTAAAAGTAAAGGACCTTTACTACGCTTTCAGGCATATTGCACATAAAAGGCTAGACCTATAATTTATAGAACAATCGATACTGGCTGGGTGATGGGGTTAACATCACACCAGTCGCCTTTACCTTCCAGGACTGTACCTATTACCCACTCAAGGCCTGGTCGACCTGACAACCAAGATAATTTCTCAAAAAAAAAAAAAAAAAAAAAAGATAGGCTCGTCAGGATCCGAACCTACGACCTTTCGATCCGCAGGCGAGCGTCTGGTCGCTGCACCAAGCCAGTTCTTCTTGCTCAGCTTTTTTTATCTTTCTGTCGGAAACTTACATCAGAAGGCCGATAGCTTTCGTGCAGTCCATATCTCCTCGTGCACCATACAGTTTTGTCTTCGCTGTGGTTGGAACAGGCCACATTGCGGCTCTGTTGGCTGCATACAGTTGACAATGTTGGAGCACATGCTCAGCATTTTCTGGCGACACGCTACAGGGACATGTCTCCGTGTTTCCTACACCGAAACGTCTGAACATAGGATGTTGGCAAAGTCTCTTGTGCCTTGTCCTTAGTCTGAATACAATATTGTGTGCCTCTCTATATGGGCAATGAAGCGAGTCTTGGGGAGAGAATTTGGTTGGTTTTCAGCCACTTTTCTTGGATACTAGCGTGTTTCAATGTCTTAGTCTCTTGGTAGGTTAAATTACTTTTTTATTGTAACATGTCACTGCCGCTTCTGGCCAGTCTGTCCACTCCTGCATTGCCTTCCAAGCCACAATGATCTGGAATTAACTACAGTACAGACTGTTCTACTAAACAACCTAAGCGAATCAGTTGTCGCGTCAAGTTTATAAACTGCTTGTCTTTTGAGTTAACAATTGCTTGTAGAACTGACATAGCGTCAGTCAGAAATACCACTCTGCTGTATCTGCTGTGCTGTTTGTGCATTCAGGAAAGAACACGCCGCCAGAAGTGCAATTGTCTCTGCTCTGTAGTTGTAATCTGCTCTGTTCTCAGCTGCCCTAGTAGCAAGGTAAAACCAATTGTACACAAATAAGCTCGTAAAAACGGATGTACACGCAAAACTCAGGCCCTGGCACAAAGCCAAAGTTCAGATGGACGAACAACCAGAACTTTCCATCGGAGCTTACAACAGGTAAACAAAGACAAAGAGCTGTAATGACAACAACAAAAAATTCTTTAAAATACCACGGAAAGAGAAGAAAAGAAATACAGATTTCATAAAACGCTGGTTCTCAACATTCCTAATGCCGCCACCCATTTAATAAGTTCTTCATGTTCTGCTGACCCCCCCCCCCCCCCCCCCCCAACTATAACACTATGTTTGTTGCTACTACATAACTACAGTGAATATGTTTTCCGATGGTCTTAGGCGATCCCTGTGAAAGGGTCGTTCGAACCCCCACCCCTAAAAAGGTAGTGACCCACAGGCTGAAAACAGCTGTCCTAAAAGATCTGAACATCAAGGAAGGCTGGCTAGCTAACATCATTTTGTCAAGGAAACTTGACATATTATGACGACATAAAGCGTCAAGGAAGATTTAAAAAAAAAAATAACTAGATTTGTAAAACGGATGTTCACGCAGCACTTCTGGAAAAAGACTGAACACGCTGAAGCCCACAAGTGGACGCACAACCAGAACTTCCGCCGGGGTTTACAGCAGGTAAATGCGAAGAGGAGGAGGAGGAGAAGGAAGAAGAAGAAAAAGAAAGTTAAGTCTTGCAACTTTGCGCATGAAAATGCTGAGCATGTACCCCAATACTACAAACTGTATGATGCTGACAGAAAAGCAAGCTAGCCTGTTTGAACTTCAGTCAAGTCAAAGCGGTATGGTATAGAGGGAGATATTGACTGAACGATATCTTCCACCAACGTTACTAGCCCTCACTGGGTGCGACCACATTCAGTTTTATTTTTGTTTGTTTTGAAGAAGGCTAGAAGGGTGCCAGCCTACACAAATATAAACACGCATCCCAGATTAGCATCGTTTATATTAAAAACAAAATTGCGTTCCGTGGTGGCTGGACAAAATCATAATTTCAATGAAAGTATCCAGTAGATGTTTCTTAACGTGGCAAAATATCATTTCAAAAGTTTATATTATATACCGGGCTATCCTCCGAATAACGGCCTAAATTATTGAGGTGGAAAATATATCCTAACAGGGCCTCAGTCACGTGTCAATTGCGCACTCACGGGGACTATAACGCCACCGCCGAATTGCGAACTTCCGCCACCGCCGAGAGTATCCACGCGGCGTGGATTGGGGCTAAGCTAGATGGCTAGGACTCACGAGCAAATAAAATAAAGGAAACTGCAGGAGATGCGGTAGCTGCTACTCGTGAGTCCCAGTCATCTAGTTTAGCCCCAATCCACGCCGCGTGAGCGGCATGAGGGATACTCTTGGTGGTGGCGAAAGTTATCGGAAGCGCGCAATTTAAAACGATTGAAGTGCGCAATTGACACGTGCCTGTCAGGGTATATTTTCCGCCTCGATAATTTAGGGCCGTTATTCGGATGATAGCCAAATACCGCTATAGTTGTTTTGGGAAAACTAACGTTAGTCTCCATATTTAAACAGTGTAGCACACTAGCTCACTTCTGATCAGTCGACCTTCAGCCCAGCTCACTTCTGGTCAACCTTGAGCCACGTTACCTTGTCACAACGTTACGGGGGTTCCCCGCAACGCTGTTCGTATCGCGTGTTGTATATGTCAGCACGCCAGCGCTTTTAACACTCTAAAAACATCAACAAACTAGGTCTAACATAAAACCCTTTAGATCGTGATGAAACCTATCTCACAGGCATTCTCTTTCTCTGAATTAAAACATAACTGCAAGATAACCCAGAAATCTACCAACAGAGCGGCACATCCGTCATCTGCATTAAGGTAGACAAGATTAAAACTTATGAATGGAACGTGACCTTCTTTGTTGGGGGAGACTAACGTTTGTTTAACCGTTGTTTTTATTCGAAGTATTCTATCGGCTTATAATCGACAATTTTTTTCAGGAAAGAATTGAAAACGATTTTGCATACAAAACATAGTCGAACTGAGGGGAAAAGTTATTCTCAAGACTCAAAAGTTCACACTGCGCAAATTGCACTTTAACAGTATGCACCAGGTATATATTACTACCCTCTGAATTTTATTTGCAAAAGCATTAAACATATGCCCTAATTATGTACTACAAAGTCTTTAAAAGAAGCCTCACAATTTAGCAATGGTAAATGTAAATTACAAATTTTTATGAACCCTCTAAAATGGATATTTCACCAAATGGATTCGTTTCGTCATATCTCCTCTAAACACTCATGATATCCACTTAGTCTCTCATTTTCTTCATCTCGTTTTGCATGTGCGTGCGCTCTATTTCAGATCGTATCGTCGTATTTGCGTCAACACCCACAAATCATCAATAAAAAGAAACCCAGGGTTGCCAGATAAAAAACTTCATTTTATGCCAAATCATTACCCAAAATATGCCAGAAAATTGCCAAATAAAATGTAACATTGTACTCACTTCACATCAAAAGCTTTAGATTGAATTCTTCACTGTTAGCCTCATTGGAATCAGTGGAAGACACAGCATAAACCTTTACGGATGTAAAATCTTTAAGCAATTTCTCAGATGGGATGAAGTCTTTGCAACATTTCTTTGATATCAATAGTTCTGCTATAATTCTGACAACTGCATCAGGAAAATCCAGTTGTATTTTGTTTCTTGCTTTTGATTTAGTTGAAGTAACAAGAGAGAATATTCTCTCAACTACAGCATTGCTAACGGGCATTATTAAGTAAGTAAGGGCGAAAGTGGCCAACTCTTTAAATGGCTGGTGTCGAAGTACGCCTATCCAAAAATCTTCCCTGTTTGTAGGTAGTCCATCCTTTTTAAATGTAGCTTCTTCTTTCCAGTTGACAACAATCAGTTTTCTGTACTGTTATTCTATAATACTGATGTTGTTTTCTGCCAGGTGTAAAAATGGTAGATCTGAAAACTGTGTCCTTGATATTTGATTTAAAACTGCCAAAGGGCTCAATTTTGACAGATTTTGAAATATATTCTCAGTGGGAAGTCTACATGTAATTTGATTGAGAGCTTTCTCTAGCACAGACATGCATCTTTCATTAACATTGTTTATTTCTATCTGAACTTCAGTCCCGTTATTCTTCTGTAGGAACGCATTACATTCCGTTAGGAATTTAATACCAAAGTCAACGTGATGAATATTTTTTTCTGCTCATTGATGTCATACAGCCTGTTCTTAAGACTTTTCTGGTGCATGGACAATTCTTGGTGTAGTTCATGAGGATCAGCTTTTGTTTGTTGCAAAAGACTGTTCAGTCTTTCAAATTCGTGTACAATTGGTGTCGCAAACACAAAGTACAAATAATTATTGTGGTCTAACAGCATTTCCTTTAACAATCTTACTTTATATTTTGTGTCAAACGTTGTTTGTGTTAATTCAGCACATGTGAAATAAGCTTTCAATTCTTCCAAGTTCATCAACATATTGAACATAATCTTTCCAGGCACAAGCCACCTAGTAGATGACAGTTTCTCAAATGGAAGAGAAGCAGTTCGTTCTGATTCAAACTCCGTAGATGTGTTCATCACTCTAAACAGTTCTTTATAGACTTCTCATCTTAAATCACTATGACGAAACCATTGAGGTATTTCTGACAGTAAGAAACCAATATTTGATAGCAGCTTGGCAATTGCACTACAAATGCAA